GGGGGGGGGGTACATCGTAACGGAAGACATGAAACAACTTACAATACATGACGTACATGTGATGGCTCGCCTCATCGAACTTATGACAAGTATGAGACCCTGCCTCCAGCAGCCTGCCCTGCCAGCACATGCCCCGAGAGCTTCGATGAAAATGAACGGGCCACTCGGACAGCACAATGCTCACCCGAGAGCCTGTCTCGTTCTCCCGATGCCGGCCGCCGGGTAGTGAAGCAACCCATCGTACTTCTGGAGAGACACCCCATCCCTCCAGCTTTGCAGTGTCTTCTGATTTCACCAGGTGCAAGGTGCTTAACCTTGATGCTTAGGTTACCCCGCCCGCCGGCACCACGAGGGTGGGAGGGGTCACGGGGGGGTACGGGGTACACAAACGGGGCCGGGGCTTTTGGGCTAAGAAATTGTCTTTCTGCCAGGTGGCTCACTAGAAACGACAAGGAATGCGATATCGCAGATATCTTCCTCGCCCACGGAAACGGTTTCCGGCCGGATGCGTCGGCTGCTCGCGAGGCGAGGGGGTTGTGTCGTCGGTGGCCATGCAGAACCTCGGCGATGAAAGAAAGTACAGTAGTCCCGCACCCCGCGCGTCCTCGTTCAAGGACGTCGCCAGGGAGAACCCTTACCGCCGGGCTCTCGCGACCACCCTCTCTCCAAGCACACACACAGTTCAGTTCCTCCCGGCCGCAGGCAGTGCTGGACCTCACACGCACGGTCACCTAGGTGAGAGCAGCATGAGCGTGTCGCACGAGTGCGACGCGAGCCACCAGCATCGTCGTTCCCGCTCCCTTGCTCCGGCCCCGCCCGTTCGAGACCAGGGCGTGGTGCTCGTGGGCGCCAGGGGCGAGGACGTGCAGCGTCACCAGGGTGGCGAGCTGGTGACGAACGTGCTGTTTAGCAGCACGGTCGCCTCCGTGCCCCTGCACCCGAAGGTGTCCGGCCTTGGGCACCGCCCGCAGTGCGACGAGCAGCGGTCGGAAGCGCATGAGGGAGAAGTGCGACCTCCATCCGTCTGAGCTGCCCGAGCGCCTCCTGGTTGCGGGGCGAGTCCACCAGGGCGACGTCCTTCCCTACCAGCATGACGACCGCCCAGAGCGCCGCCGAGGCGCGGAGTCCCTGCGCCGCGCAATGTACCGACAGAGATGGGATCCCAACCCGGCCGTGTCGCTGCACAACCGCGTTGAGTGTTTCGTGATCGACTACTACGCTGACTGCGCCGACTCGCGAGCTACCTGCAAATCGTCTTCGTGCTGTAGAACAAACGTATCGATAGCATACACCAGAGCGTCTGCGTGCGTGACATTGTGCTTAGCTACGCACGGTGTTCCCCTCGCCGCCCACGACTACGACCAGCACTGGTCCTGGTCCAGTCTATCACTGATAAATACGACCAGTAAGGCAGTGGAGTGAGAGTAAATGAGGGGGGGGGGGTAATCACCAACTACCAGACAACACACAAAGGCGTTGAGGGCGAAGGGGAGCGGGGGTCAAACTGGGCGATGAGACCTTGGCCACGGATGAGAAGTACGAGGCCTCCGGCGGCCTGGCCGGCCTGTCGCCGGCGCGGCCAAGGCCTCTGACAATGCACGAGGCGAAGGGTGCGCGGGTCAACCTTGGCAATGTGTTTTCCACCACAGCCATGCTAGCCGGCATGCCAATGTTCTACATGCTCGCCGACATGCAGTCAGTCGTAAGGTTGAGAAAAGAGGACGGGGAAGGACCGCGGCTGCAGCGGGCTGCAGGCAGGCTGACCTTGCGCAGCTGCTCAGCTCCCCGGCCCCAGGGTACTCGCAGCACGAGTATCCACCCGGGCGACGTCCCTCCCTACCAGCATGACGACCGCCCAGAGCGCCGCTGCCTCAAAAGGGCAGCTCGCTATGCTTACACCTAGTACGGAGATTTAAAAACATATATGTGTTTCTCCCTCTTGATAGATAAGCAGAAATGACAGCAGGGAAGGCAAGAGGCGGGGAAATTGCTAGTTAAACAAATGAATTTTGTACAGTTCTAGCTTGTGTCTCTCTAATCAAAACCTTTGAATTCACTTTTTGATGCTGGAGCACTTTGTCCACCATGGCCAGTCCAAGCTGAGATGGTGAAGTTGAACCTTATCAATAATGAGGAACGGGGCTAAGTCTGCTCTGTGATCTGGGGTGATTTAAACTCTTTAATTCTATGTTATGAGCTTAAAAAGTAACACATACGCTTGGAAAATGTGAGGAAATACTACTTGATATGAATTTCAACTTAAAAAGTAGTGTTCTTGACTGATTTACCCAAATTGTAATACTTTGACTATTTTGACTGAATCTTATGGTGTGGTAACATTCTAAACTACTATTTGCTTCGGATTTCAATTCAATTCAACTACTTTACGGTGTCACTACATGGTTAGATAGATCAACACCTCTGGAGATGTTGTTCTCAAACTTTTCCGAAGTTGTATAGCGTCCAAACCCTATATTTAATTTCACTTGAATTTCAACTCATCAATTTAATATTATCATCTCAAAAGCAGAGGATGGACTTGGACATTGTTGACAAGTTGAGTTTTATGGTATTTTACATGATGGAATAAGAAGAAGAAGAAAGGGCTGTTTGGTGGTAGTAAGGTAACAACTGACTCACTGCACCGTTTGGAAGAACATTAAAACAATAAATAAACCTGTTTCCTACCCGTGTCGACCAAAACTTTCAACAGTAACTCGAAGGTCTCAGAAAAGCTTCCAGACTTGCCCTAAGTAAAACTCGTACTTTCCCTTATCTAATGTTTTAAGTTTGAGCAACTAAACTCGAGACACTTCAACCAATCAAATTCAGTCTGGACAGCCACGGTAGTGACCATATACTTATCGTGTCTAAATATTTTGCTCAGCCGTCAACGTTTACGCCCAGCAGCCTCATTCTAAAAAAGTTGAATAATTGAGCTCTAAAACTTGATCAAACCACAGTAAAATAGTAGCACGCATATACTCAAACCAACCAATTATCTACTGTCTTTTGACGTTTATCTCGCCTTCTGTGCGTATATGTCTAGTAAAACTGAGTTCCTTTCGGTTTGCTACTGTGTATGCGTACTGAATTGTCATTTAAACCTCACAACCTCAAATATCAAGAAGATCTGGAGCTGTTTACTTTCGCCTGGTTAGTCAAACAGGACCAAAAAAAATAACAAAGAGGTGAGCAACAAATCCACACTCCGTTTCAAACCTCAAACTTTGCTGACAATAACAAAAACCAGAGTTCTGATAACGATTCTGTATAATGCCAGAGACTTTACCTGCATGAGAGCAATAAAATGGTCTTCGCCGTATTCTGTCTTCAAGGACGGGTGACAACTCATAATTGATTCATTGAAAAAAAGACAACTAGCACATACAACTTGATGAGCAAAAGTATACAATAATAACTACTACGCACTTCGGTTCCATTGTTTACCACCAACTGCCAATAATTGGTTAAGCATTATTGGTAAATCAGTCAGCTGACTTCTGCAATGTGGCCAGCGATTGACATTATTTCAATTTCCACCGAGCCTTTGCGACATTTTACGAAAACAACAAGAACTCTTTTCTACTACACTGTCTCCAGAATCTCAGCATTATAGTAGCGCTCGCCAATATTTTTTGTGACTGAGTTTTCTAAGTGAATCGTTGTGTTTCTGAAACGAAACCAGTTGCGATCTAACCTGTAAGTATTGCTACTTTACAATATCTAGTCGAGTGCTTTGCTTACTGCTGCTGTTCAGCACTGTCATCATCGAGTTTTATTCTACAATATTTTCAGAAACGAGCCTTTGCAGAGAGAAAAGCGCCTTTCCATGCCTCTGAAAGGAGGACAAGAGAGTCATTGGCAGCTCTGGCCTGGCCAACAACCAAGGAAAAATTACTTAATGAAGCACATGCAGTCTGTTCAAAACTCATGCATTTATTTTTACACCTATTTGACACTATTGCTCAGCATTTTCTTTCATTGCATATTTGATTGTCCATTTTTTGGCATTGCTGTCATGCTGCTCTTTTTGCACTTTGTATTGCCTGGCTATTGTGAGCATTAATGGATCATCTGGAACAAAAGTGTAAAAATATTAAAAGCAAATTTGTTGTTAAGGTATTTTTACTGAGTGGTTTGTGCATATTTCAATTGTTACCTGGATTTGGAGAACTTAGCAGGCTATAGAGTGAGAGCAAAATGCTCTCCACTCCAAATGCGGCCTTCCAGTCCTTCTTTAAAGTGCTCAAGCAGATGTCGCCTTCCGTATTAATATTACAATGGTAAATTTTAGTTATGAATTGACACTGTAAGGGAGCATTCTGAATTAATGTTAAATACTCAAGGCAGGGTAATATCACTATTGATTTAATCTTGGTGAAGCCAGTAAAGCTCAAGCCACCTTTGTCATTTGTTTTACTCCCCGAAACGAATGAGAGGGTGGCTTTCGCCTCACTGGCCTTACCAAGGCTGAATTGGTTATCAGCTATGGTGGATGTAGTCTTATGATGCTATTTACCTCACTAAATAGACTAACTTGACTAAATCCACTACTTATCCACTACAATTTTCTTTTGCTAAAATCAAGGCTGCCACAATCTAGGAAAATTTATACTATGTGAGAGAACTGGTTGAAATTGTTACTTTCCTGCCAAACTCGCTTATTTCTAATTAACTATCAAGTCAATTAGACTTGTTTCTCGTTTCTAGGGAAAATTCCTTCCTTTATCTGTGATTTAAATTTTCAAGAACTGTTATGCAAATTGTAGCCTGAGAAAATGTCAGCTATTTTGGTCTACTGGGTTTGTGGCAGCCTTTGAATAAACAACTTACAACTAATTTTATTACTCACTCGAGGTGGAACGAAGGGATAGGACTTGCTGAATCTCATGGAAATCTCATATTTTCCACCTTCATATGGAGTTCCCTTGGGGCCATGTATGAAGCATTTCCATTCATAGAGGTTTGTCCCTGGAGCTCCTCCAATGTATGGAATGGTCTTCTTCCCCATCTGCGCAGCCTCTCGGGTTAATCTAAAAAGAAAA